GATCTGTCATCGGATGTTCGCCATTTAGCCGAGTTCCCGTAATGTGTACGGTTGTACGGGCCGCGGAATATATCTGCTACACTGGGTATTCGGTCGGGCCGGTCAACTGGGAAGCGCGTCCGAAGTCCAGCGTTGGCCAGTTCCTGGTGCACAACGGTTTGATTAAAGAAATCTTTGCGCGAGAACCGACTATGGCACGGGCATAATCAACAGTAGGAGATGGGGCCTCGATTTCACGGCTTACGATCGCACAATATTACAGGAAGCAGCAGCGGCTGGTTCGAGACGGGTGTTTTCGCAAGTATATGTGGCGGCTGTGTTTGGAAGACTCGGAAATTGGGGAGTAATATGACGACTTTTCTCTTCTTCCAACGCCGGTAGGACGTCGTCCACTGTCGAAGAGTTGCGGAACATGAGGAGAGTAAGGGCATCATCCACGAATCCTTTCAGGATGCGCGCAATGTTTTTGGATTCCAGCATCTTGTCGTCAACTGTGCGGAAGAGGGCGAGCACATCTTAAATGCATGTCACGTATAAATCAGTGCAGGAATGCAGTTGGCACGCGAGTTCTTTCTGCGCCGAACGACGACGCCAATTGGGCTTGCCAAACAGGTCGATGAGTTTGAATTTGCATATGTCTGAACTTGTGAACTCTTCCTCGTTTTGGGAAAACCAAACTTGGGCCATGCCCTCAAGGTAAAAAAGAATATTGACCATTATGAGCGTCGGGTCCCAGTTGTATAGTGATCGCGATCACCCCCTTAACTAGGGGTGAATCAAAATTAGTATAGCAGGGTGATATAGACGAATATGACTCGCTGGTAAAGACACATAATGTCATAATCCCGTCGGCTACATCGTCAAACCCTTTCGCCAAGACATGTGCCAGATAAGCACCAGCAGGTATGTGCGACAGCAGATTGACAGAAACGGCGAGAACAGACATGGGTAATTTCAACGCGTGAGTGTTGAGGATAAGCTGACATCGGCAGCGTTCATCCGACAAATGCAAAAAAATAAATATCAAAGCCCCAGCAGCAATCAAACCACAGCATTCTGCGTGGCAGACAAGTATTCCACCACAGAAGCACACTAGTTTGCAAAACTATACTTTTCAAATAGACCCCAATACTAGTGAAACGTCCATTGGGGTTGCAATGCTGGCTATTCAATTTTACAAACATTATACACGTACTCCTATAATACAGCCATCACGTCGGGTTAATGTCAATTGTAGTTAGGCGCCAAACGCTGAAGTTGATTTATGTACCACTGTCCACGGCTACCATTCTTTCGAACACAAGCCCTGCATATCAGCTCAACGCTTCTATAGTGTTGCTAATATACATGTTGCTGCCTGCGTCGCTACGCAAGTGTTAACGAATGGCTTTACACAACACAAGTGGGTGTTTAACATATGTCTTTGCGTGCATTCGTACATATCTTTACCGCCACTTAGTAACGTTCGACTTAATAAAAACTATTACAAAACAGCCACTTTTGCCGCATGCTTCGCATAACGTCGATTGCCAAGGTACGTGGAATCTACCGAATTTTATTTTACAAAGATCACCGAGAATCTGCTTGTAAACCGCATAAAAGTTTATTTTCAGATATTGAATCTCCTGTCCGTTGAACAACATGGGTTCCGTAAAGGCTACTCTACTGAAACTGCATTATTATTTTTTACTAACAAAATAAAGCCTGCCTTAGACAACGGCCATATTGTAGACTCATTCTTCATGGATTTCGGGAAGGCTTTGACGCTATCTGCCAAAAGATCTTATATTATAAGCTAAATGCATTCGCGACTAGACACTTTCAGTCGTACGCAGCAATTTAACCAACAGAACGCATACTGTAAGTTTCAAAGGTTCGCTATCGCATACCAAGTCAGTCACAATGTTTGTCCCGCAAGGCTCGCTCTAGGTACCCTTTTATTCCTCGTGTACAGTAACGACCTTCCTAACTATCTAACTTGCACCTCATCTATTCTATATGCTGTTGACACCACCATATTTACTTCAAGTGAATGCGTGAAATGCCTTGACAACACAACTCAAGTCTGACGCGAGCAACTTATATGCTTCGTGCGAAAGAAACAAACATCGTATCAATGTATCCAATGCTCAGTTCATGCCTTTTCATAAAAATCAACGTGTCACCCCATCTGCACCACCACTCATCGTTCTAAATCACGTTCTATCACTCGAACACGAAGCCATTTTTCTTGAGATGCAACTTGATTGTAAACTTGAGTTTAACCTGCGTGCTCAAGGGATCTCAAAAAAGATCACTTTTGGAGTTAGTGAACTAATTTTAACACGCTCATTTTTTTCGCTATATGAGAACAACACTCTATTACTAATTCATACATTGCGAATTACAATACTGTCTCCGTCTGGGGAAACACATATACCAGGCATATAACACAGCTAAACATTTACAGAATCAGGCCTTTATGATAATCAGTTTGTGTAGCTAATGCACTATTTGGTATTAAACTACACTTCATTAGGAATACTACCATTGCGTTGCATGGCTCATTTGAAATTAGTTTTGCTGATATATCCCACCCTAAACCTTAAAATCAATATAGCTTCATTTCATGCATGTGCTCTAACCAACCGTAACAGCACCAGATTTTCATCAAAAAACAACGTTTTACTCCCCAAATTCACACTAATTATAAAAAATTTACAGCTTTTTTAACTTCCGATAAATACTGGAATACATTCCCATTAGATAATAGAGCACTCCACGCAACAATACTATTCAATAAAGACATGAACAAACACCAACTAAATACACTGCCGCTAATGATTCATTGTCATGTAGTTACAAAAATTTATCCATTTCATTTATTTTAAACTCTATGTTAATTAAAATATCTCTCCTATTTTTATAGTGCAATTGTTTATAATTTTTGTCATTTTTTAATTCCTCGCTTTGGGGAATTTCAGTTTTGATGCCATGAAAAGAATGAAGAAGCTCGCGCTATGTATCATTATGTGAAATCTACCCTTGTTGATTTATACATACTTGTGTTTATATAGAATAGGTTGATTCAAGTTTTGTTGTTTATAATTAGTTTTGTATTATTTGTGTTTAACGTATTTTTCAAGAGAACATTTGCATTTATGTCGCTTTTTTCATTATTTTATCTTGCTTAGTGTTCCAATTTATTGTTTTCTCAATTCATCTATTATTTTTCAACTGCTATCATGGCATTATATGCATTTTATAGATACTCTGAAATGACAAATAAGAGGTCCCCTTGATGGTGTTGCAACTCTAAGACCCCCTTCTGTACTAACGAAGAATTGAATTGAATCGATGCCCTTTATCGACACTGTATAGTGTCAGCGCAAGCTAAATCATGACCGCACAAGACTGCCAATGAAGTCTGAAAACGCCGGTGACGCCGTCTTTGGACGACGATTGGCAAATCATTTTGCATATGCTTTGACGATCACGCTTGATTAGTACGCACTTTCAGCAAACGAGTTCTGCAGCTTCTTTGCCAGCCATACCGGGCACACCCCAATGTAAAGACAAATTCATTGATTGATATGTGGGGTTTAACGTCCCGAAACCGCCATATGAATATGAGAGACGTCGTAGTAGAGGGGCTCCGGAAATTTAGACCAACTTGGGTTCTTTAACGTGCATCCAAACCTGAGCCCACGGTCCTACAACATTTACGCCACCATCGGAAATGCAGCCGCCGCAGCCGGGATTCGATCACGCGACCTGCGGGGCAGCAGCCGATTACCTTAGCCACTAAACCGCCGCGGCGGGGCCAATGTAAAGACTAAGGTGGTGCACCGTGGACGGGGCAACAGCTGATTCTTGGCTTGCTCTCGGCCTCCGATTCTCAAAGCACTGCGGTATTGAACTTAGTTACTGCGCGACATAATTCTACAGCAGCTAAGCAAATTGCCATCATAGGTGCTTTTACATGGAGCATGGTACACATTTGCATATAAGGTTTATGTTGCAGTATGACGACTACACCATGTGCTCACAGTACTTTATCAATTTTGCATGCCCTGCGTTCAGTACCATTCTTCGGTGTGCATATTGAAATGGTAAGCAACATAGTTGATGTACCCGATAAGTCGCAGAGGCCATCCTGTACCTAATGTGATCAATACATTCGAAAGTATTCTGAGATCGGTTGCCATCTAATGCTTTAGTACGACTGCTGCCCACCAATGCATTCAAGGCTAGTGCACTGCTTATCTTTTCTTCGGCTTCGGTAGCTGTCTCCGTGGGGTTCACAGCACCATGGCGAGTGCATACAATTGCAGTTCAGCAACTGTGTACGAACTGTGGATTCAATAGACGTACTCTATGGAAGGATCACTCTTGATTCTTTCCCCCTTTATTCCTTTTTCTCACAATTCCGCTGCCCTCAGCACGAGGTGGCAAACCGGACGTGCGTCTAGTTGACTTTCGAATCTTCTTTCGAATCACCGAAATCATCTTCCGGAGACGTTAGGGTTATCCAAGCATGCGAGAAGAGACGTTTTAAGTGATCGCATCCCCAGTGCCTTACGAAAGCTAGTCCGCGGCAACCGAAATTATCTTCCGGATAGGTTCGGGTTATCCATGGATGCGAGAAGAGACAGGGTGCCCTTTACGTACAACGGTAAGAATATCGTAGAAATAGGCTGATGGGAATCATGCTGCCCCGGAAGAGTAACGGGCATTGTCCACTCAGCATCGATAGGTACGTGGACCAAGAAAAATAATCGTGCAGAAATACATTTACGACGATTCTTACTCTAGTGCACATCATACTCAATAAGCTAACTATTTACTGCCGCCAGCGAAATCCACTCGTTTTGAGTTGGTACGCCCACTCCTTATAATACAACACGGCAGGCCCTGCTGAGCGCATAAAAGATCAGCCTGATCGTCTATTGTGAGCGAAAAATATAAAATACCATAACGGCATTCTGGCCACTATATTTTTCAAAAAAATGCATACTCACGGTGCTACTGTCGCAGAAGTTCGAAGTACCGAGACACTAAAGCAAAAGAAGGAAGACACAACCATTATTGTAACGTATTTCATCACATTCCAGTCACCCGTCTCACTTTCCTAATGACTTAGTTCTAAAGTAAACACGTTTACCTAGTTTTCGGAATTCATTTCAAGCTATTGACTATGATACTGGAGACAGAGCCAATAAAAAAAAAAAAAAAACATGCTGTTCAAAAGAAAGGTAACTCTGCTGAAGACTCTTGTGAGCCAGGTGCCACCAACGCCACCAGATGCTTTGGTTTAACACTCTGAAAAGGAACCAATATGAGTGCAACTTTTGTGGAGGAACACATGATGAAGGGAGGACGGCCACGGCATCATAGTCGTCACATCGTTTTTCGTTTCAAGCAAAAAAAAATGTGGCGTACCCTCCTGTTGCGACTATGTGTAAACATGGTGTTAGGTATGAACTAGCCTAAGCTGCAACGATAACACATTGCGCATGAATGTCTAAGCACTGAAAAGCTCTTCTGACGAGATAGTTCATATTCAACTGGGTCCTACAAAAAAAAACTTTTTCTTCATTTTTTCCATTGCGTCCTGCACTTACACTACTCGCCAACTTAGAAGGCTGGGTCTAGATCATCCCTATTGTCATTACGCTCTTTTATTAGGGCATTATCATCCCCATATTTATTACACTATTTTATGCCTAGTGGCAAGTTTGAGTTAGTGGCAACTTTTTTCTTAGGCCGAAGGCGTTCGAAAAAAACTTTTTTCCTGCATGACTACATTTAGCCTTTTTTTTTTGTCGATATGGCCCGAATTATCAATATCACGCTGAAGTCGCTGGCGTTCCATTGTCCACTGACGTAGTTTGAATTATTCAGCAATGCTAATACATAAGTAAAAGGCTTTCAAAGATGTAGCTGCGACTAGGGGAAAATTCACAAAAGGCCCCGCATTTTTGAACTACCTACCACTCAACCGACTTATAACCGTCATAAAGAGCGCCAGGCGTCTAGCTAGTGTGAATTCGGTTGCATTAGGAATAGGATATCCGGTGAAGTGTTTCTCGTTTCTTGAAATGGGTGCGATTCAGTAACGTTAAGTGCTCGGTCTAGGTTATCACACAATATATTATTGATTCATATGTGGGGTTTAACGTCCCAAAATCACTATATGATTATGAGAGACGCCGTAGTGAAGGGCTCCGGAAATTTTGACCACCTGGGGTTCTTTAATGTGCACCAAGTCTGAGCACACGCGCCAACAACATTCCTTCCTTAATCTTCTTTCCTCGAATAAATGTTTTAAGTGATCGCATCACCAGTGCCTTACGAAAGCTAGTCCGCGGCAACCAAAATCATCTTCCGGATAGGTTTTGGTTATCCATGGATGCGAGAAGAGACTGGGTGCCCTTGTACAACGGTAAGAATATCGTAGAAGTAGGCTGATGAGAATCATGCTGCCCCGAAAGAGTAACGGGCATTGTCAACTCAGCATCGGTAGGTACGTGGACCAAGAAAAATAGTCGTGCAGAAATATATTTACGACGATTGTTACTCTAGTGTACGTCATACTCAATAAGCTAAATATTTACTGCCGCCAGCAAAATCCACTCGTTTTGAGTTGGTGCGCCCACTCCTTATAATACAACACGGCAGGCCCTGCTGAGCGCATAAAAGATCAGCCTGATCGTCTATTGTGAGCGAAAAATATAAAATACCATAACAGCATTCTGGCCACTATCTTTATATGTTTCGAGCAAAATAAATAAATGTGGCGTACCCTCCTGTTGCGACTATGTGTAAACATGGTGTTAAGTATGAACTAGCCTAAGCTACAACAATAACACATTGCGCATGAATGTCTGATCACTGAAAAGCTCTTCTGACGAGTCAGTCCATATTCAATTGGGTCCAACAAAAAAAAAGATAACTTTTTCTTCATTTTTTTCTATTGCGTCCTGCACTTACACTACTCGCCAACTTAGAAGGCTAGGTCTAGATCATCCCTATTGTCATTACGCTACTTTATTAGGCCATTATCATCCCCATATTTATTACGCTATTTTCGGCCTAGTGGCAAGTTCAAGTTAGTGGCAATTTTTTTTTTAGGCCGAAGGTGTACGAAAAAACGTTTTCCCTGCATTACTACATTTAGCCTTTTTTTTCGATATGGCCCGAATTATCACTATGACACTAAAGTCGCTGGCTTTCCATTGTCCACTGACAAAGTTTGAATTATTCAGCAATGCTAATACATAAGTAAAAGGCTTTCAGAGATGTAGCTGCGACTAGGGGAAAATTGGCAAAAGGCCCCGCATTTTTGAACTACCTACCACTCAACCGACTTATAACCGTCATCAAGAGCGCCAGGCGTCTTGCTAGTGTGAACTCGGTGGCATTAGGAATAGGATATCCGGTGAAGTGCTCCTCGTTTCTTGAAATGGGTGTGATTCAGTAACATTAAGTGCTCGGACTAGGTCATCACACAATATATTATTGATTGATATGTAGGGTTTAACGTCCCAAAACCACCATATTGTCACGTGGTCGTGACGTGGCCAAAGACAGGAAACTTCGTGTTGGGATTTAACTGTTTATTTGAGCGAACCTGTGCCCGGTAAAGGGAAAGTGTAATTACAGCAGCAGTCTTGCACAGATAGCAGTCTCAGACTGATAGCGGCGAACGCAGCGTCGGCCATCGATCAACTACTGACAAGCGGCGAAGCGCGTCGGCATTTATACCCTTGCCGTCGAATGTTCTAGCGTTATCGCTGGCGGTGGCGTAGGTTCCAGAACAATCTGTACCGTTCGCACAGTGGGCGTGATCTTATCGAAATGATCTACTACAGTCCGGGACCTTCTCGAAACCTGCAGGCGCGGTTTGCGCCGAGAATCGTGTGGTGTTTCGGCATTGGCATTGCCCCCCTCTGAAAAAAGGCATCGTCCCGATGCTTTAACTAAAGATGAAGGTACAATAATAATCCAAGAACAGCTCAAGGCCCTGCTCCTGCAATACGAAGATTGCTTTTCGTCGTCATCGAAAATTCAGCAGACCCTAATCACGAAACATCGAATCATAACCGAAGAAAATGCCAGACCACTCCGTCAGAGTCTGTACAGGGTTTCGACGCGAGAACGTGAGGCAATGAAGAGACAAGTTGATGAAATGCTGAGAGATGACATTATCCAGCCGTCCAAGAGTCCGTGGGCATCCCCCGTGGTGTTAGTGAAGAAAAAGGATGGGACCCTACGTTTCTGCGTCGATTACCGCCGCCTGAACAAAATCACAAGAAAGGACGTGTATCCTCTCCCACGAATAGACGACGCACTTGATCGGCTCCATAACGCCAAGTACTTCTCGTCAATGGACCTCAAGACTGGCTATTGGCAAATCGAAGTCGACGAAAGAGACCGAGAGAAGACGGCGTTTATAACACCGGACGGCCTCTTCGAGTTTAAGGTGATGCCCTTCGGCCTTTACCCAGCACCTCCACCAGATGTCACGGGGTCGTGACGTGGCCAAAGACAGGAAACTTCGTGTCGGGATTTAACTGTTTATTTGGGCGAACCTGTGCCCGGTAAAGGGAAAGTCTAATTACAGCAGCAGTCTTGCACAGAAAGCAGTCTCGGACTGATAGCGGCGAACGCAGCGTCGGCCTTCGATCAAGTACTGACAAGCGGCGAAGCGCGTCGGCATTTATACCCTTGCCGTCGAATGTTCTAGCGTTATCGCTGGCGGTGGCGTAGGTTCCAAAACAATCTGTACCGTTCGCACAGTGGGCGTGATCTTATCGAAATGATCTACTACAGTCCGGGACCTTCTCGAAACCTGCAGGCGCGGTTTGCGCCGAGAATCGTGTGGTGTTTCGGAACGATAACAAAAACTTGTGAAATGGAACGTGGCAATATGATTATCAGAGACGCCGTAGTGAAGGGCTCCGAAAATCTCGCCCACCTGGGGTTCTTTATGTGCACCCAAGTCTGAGCACATGGGCTTACAACATTTCCGCCTCCATCGACAGAATAAATTATTCAGAATGGGATAAAAACATAGTGTTAAAGCCCAACAAGGTTTGATGTTGACAACACTCGTGCTGTACTCGTTTTTTATTGCCGCTATAGTGATGTTACTTCACCATTTTACGGAAAAGACTATCTAAAAGAGTAAGAGTGCGTTTTTAAGAGATCAAATTCTATTTTTAACAACGCAAGAAACGGTAATTCTGCGTGAAGAGATTGCCAAAGCCAACAATTCAAATACTTAAGCTTGACTATTAGCAATTCTAATTGCTAGTCTGGGAGGGTTAAGGCTGTATCTATTTACTAGCTGCGATACATTAGTGGTGCAAGTGGGCACTCTAGGCCTTCTCGCTTCCCGTACTTTCTTACGTTTTATTAATTACGGTTTGGGTTTTTTCACTTACAAAAAAAAAAGAACTTCGCACTTATCACCCATACGGGGGTAGTTCTTGCTAACTTTAGGAACTTTGGCTCAATCTAACTGCTTTTTTGGTGATTTTTTCATTTTTCTGGCTATATTCTGTCTTTTATACCTGTAAACTTGGGGGCGCAGGACAGAAGCCTCCACCTCCAATTTTCCGCATCCTGTGCGACATGCTGACCTTGTTCTGCGATGCTATCACGCCAACCTTTGCTGCCGTCCTTAATATGCATCTGATACGTCTCCCAATCTGTCGCTCTAACGAAGCATCAGTCGTAATTAGCATTAAGTTACCACCACATCATACGGGGAAGATCAGTTGTAAAATATCTCACTGGAAAGTGTGACCATCGGCAAGTTCGATCATTTGCTTAATTTGGGGCTTTGATGCGCATTGCGCAATGTCATGCTATGACGTAGTGGGGCCGTCAACGTTCGCTGGGTCTTATTTCGTGTACTCCTAGGGAAGCATGGCCTGGCAGTTTCGGACGGCCTCTGTACCTGTTTTGCAAAGAATAAAATCGGTTCGTAGCGATCGGTGCCCGTCGTACAGTGTTCTATGCAACTGTAATATTGCCAAGATGTCATTTCGCTAATGTTCCTTTTTCCTGTTTTTATGACATCTATTTCTTTCTTCTATTTAATTATTTTTTATTTTCTTGTACCTACAGTACTTACGTCACATCTATTTTGCAAACAGAATTTCGTTAATTCAAATAAAACAAAAACTTTACAGTTGACTTACCTCGCCAATACCCATCACATCCCTGATCGTAACGTTAATGCAGTGGCCACCTGCAAAAAAAAGTAAAATTTAATGTTCACTCTTACTTTCCAGGGTCAGCCATTTGCCACCACAGCAGTCCGAGTATATAACGAGACATTGATTAATTTACACACCACAAAGTTATTATTTTAGTATTTCATTTCCTTTTGGCAGAACCGCCGTCCTCACTCGTCGCAGCTGTCATTGACAGCAAACGCTTTCGTGAATGTTGGATAAGTTAGTGCAATGAAGGGGATTTTGTGCAGCTTGCCGTACTTGTTGCAATGCGTTTCTATAAGAACACTTCACGTGTGTCATGCAGCCCAGGGGTCAGTGTATTCAATAATTCTTTTTACTAAAAAGCTAACAGAGGTTCTGCGATCGCATATAGCAAAGTCGTCTTGCTTTTCAAAGGCAAGCTTTAATAACGCCTACCAGAGGTAACGAATGTCGCCCTACTTCTGGTCGACTGGTTTACTACATTACTTGGGTGCATGACCAAATACAATATTCAGTTGGCTCATGAGAAAAGTACTTGTAATTAACCTTTTTCATTGTGCGTCTCAAAATGCAACACAAACGGGCTGCAGTACAGCACGGGTGCATGTGAATTTCTTTACCAGTACGTTGTTATTCACTACAAGATGTGTTTTTCTGTCATCCAATACTCGTTCAAGTTCCACCTGAATTCGTCACAGCTTCTTGCCGAGCTAAAATAGGGCGCTTTTTACTTCTGCAAAGAGAAAGACTGCGTCATATACGAGAAAAAAATGGCACTGGCAACTGTGATATAATCAGTACGCAGAGTGAAGTGCCTGTTGCATTACAGGAAACTTGCTCTCGGAGTTTTTCATTCGCATTTGTTGAAACTACTCTTTTGGGCTGTAGATTTATATACACGCTAAGTCTGAGAAGTGCTTGTCCTGCCACTCTTTTTTAGCAAACCTTATGGCAGCCTTATACAACACAACTCTATATTCAGTAGCGTTTCGAGCGTGTTGGTAAATAAAGATAATTGGATATTCCTTAAGTATGGGCACATACGTGCTACGAACATCGTCACTTGCACTTCAACTACTGCAGTGCCTGCAGTGACCATCGAGAAACCCACCATGTTTTTTCGTTCACATTGCGTCGATGCTGATTTAAACGCTTCGTGACGCAGCATCAACTTTGACCTGCGTAATTTTTGCCACATAGCAGCTCTTAAACCGCTGCATCATACTACTCTATACACCTTTTTTATGCTTATTTTGGCATCCGTGCGGATGCAGGTCTGGTTAGTCAGCCTGAGCTCTGCAACATTATGCGAGTCAAAAGCTATAGTTTAACATCCGCGATGTATCATATTTCTTTGAGTCGAAGTGATGGCTCATGAATATATATGCGTAATGATCCGCGACCTTCCTCGTAGCAGATGGAAGCGGGCTGGGCAGGAGTGTTTTTTGGTGAGTTCAACCTGACGAGGTCCTGAGAAACACTGATAAGCACATCTGTAGGGTAACCTGCGGACCGAAGACGCGGAACTTGTTCATGGAAACTTTCGCTCATGCGCTCAATAGATTGCTTGCGTATATGTCGCTGTGCAAGCAATTCTTCACTATTCCCCTCTTCACCAACTTGGAGTGCGCCCACTTCTACACGATAGCAGTGGTACGAAGGTCGTACTTCTAGTGGGTGCGTTCTTCATGGAATAAAAGACTGATGGCCAGAAATCGATTGCTACTAATATCCTTTAATCTTGAAAATTTCCGCTTCCATGCTGATAAATCGTTCTACTAAATGTATATATGTATTGACAACTCACCAGCGAAAGCACATTACTTACATATACTTTTTTCACAAGCAATCATTAGTCACTGAATTCATGTTATAAAGTAAATTGATTCATAGTGTATTGCGCAAATGCGGGATTAGTTCTGCCTCTTGCAGGGATTGAGCTTAACAAGAAGAATTGTTCTTTGCCACTGACAATTACCGGGGAAAATGCTTATGGGGGGCTAATTGTACAACTGTTTAAGTTATAAACCCTAACCATAATATTTTTGTCACCTAATACGTCACAACTATAATGAATTTTAAGCATGTTTGGTACCAATGCTTACGACATAAAAATTGGTGATCTACAGAGAGAACAGTTTCAATGTGCAATACTCGAGACAACGTTCATAGCTTCAAGCCACAAGTCACTCGAATGGCTGGCTTTTCTTATCTATGTTGCCATTAATTTAAAACCGAAGTAACGTGATATCGTTCTCTTTAGGTACATGTACTCACTAGTTGGAACTTCGGCTCCAAAAGTCACTGTCGCAGCGCTAACAAGACCGGCGAGGAGGCACATATAGGCCATAGTTGACATCTCGCTAAGGGAACGTAAGAGAAAGATGCCTCGCCCCTGCTGTCCCTATATACCTGAGTTGTACCTGAGTTGATTGGTTGTGACACCTACGCACTCTTTACAATCGTCCACAAATCCGGGCCAACGAAGAGTATGCGATCAATCGCAGCTGCACGGTGTATTACACAGGGAGCCCATGGCTGCTGCATGTGACGCACTGTGTCGGTGCTTGGAACAACACTGTTCGCGTGTCCAGTTGTGACGCAGAGAAATGACGCACCTGGCATTTCTCCTCGTTGTTCAAACTGTTCAACGTTGAGTCCAATATAATTTATACACGGCGAAGGCTAGCATGGAACAGAGATCCAACACTGTTTACGAACTAGAGTCCACTATTTGAGAGAACCTCGATGTAACTAGAGTGGTTTGCCCTTCGTAGCGTGCGTCACAGTGAACACGTGAAAAACTACAAAACCATCAGCATGACTTCAAAAGAGTGACTTTTTCAGGCGCCTCTCACTTGAACTAATGCAAGTCTTTTGCAGCGTGCTCAACTTTCTGCACTTGCTGGAGGCGCTAAGACTTTACTTGGAACTCTGCGAAAGGCATGCATACGGACATAAACACAGAAGGAGAATTTAAGGGCTCGTTTTTATGTGCGAAGCATTTCTTAGTGAGCTACGGTAACTTTGGCCGTATCTATCTATCTATCTATCTATCTATCTATCTATCTATCTATCTATCTATCTATCTATCTATCTATCTATCTATCTATCTATCTATCTATCTATCTATCTATCTATCTATCTATCTATCTATCTATCTATCTATCTATCTATCTATCTATCTATCTGTCTGTCTGTCTGTCTGTCTGTCTGTCTGTCTGTCTGTCTATCTATCTATCTATCTATCTATCTATCTATCTATCTATCTATCTATCTATCTATCTATCTATCTATCTATCTATCTATCTATCTATCTATCTATCTGTCTGTCTGTCTGTCTGTCTGTCTGTCTGTCTGTCTGTGTGTCTGTCTGTCTGTCTGTCTGTTCGTCCGTCCGTCCGTCCGTCCGTCCGTCCGTCCGTCCGTCCGTCTGTCTGTCTGTCTGTCTGTCTGTCTGTCTGTCTGTCTGTCTGTCTGTCTGTCTGTCTAGCCGCCTACGACTTTTAGCCATCCTGGCCGTTTCGATAATGGGATCTATACAAAAATTGGTATGGCATAACATACCTGTATGATGACCATATTTACTAGTTCATAACATTAAAATTACGACTTGTATGTCATGAATGTTACTGTTTACATGTCATGGTCTTGCTGCTCTCGTGGTGGTTCCGTCCACATCACATAATGCAAAACGGGTATGGCATGGCATGACTGCAAGGTGAACATAAGTGACCGGCCCTAACGTGAAAATCATGACATGCATGTCATGTATATCATGACTACAACACCAGCTCAAGGTGCGCTCGTGGTCGTCTCGTTAGCTTCACATATACCAAATTTGGCATTACGAGACGTGAACACATGATGAAAGTATATGACTAGTGGAAACACAATATTCATGACATGGGTGCATTTTAAGAACATGGCTTATGATACGCTCAAGGTTGTTGCTCTTTCTTGACATACACTAAATTTGGTACTACGTGATGTGAATGAACGGCGAAGGTAAATGGCACGTCCAAACATTATAATCACCACATACGAATTATGTAAAACATGACTACATGACACGCTTATGATGCGCTTGCGGCCATTTTGGTAGCTTTACACATATTTGATATTACGTCACGTGAACAGATGATGAAGATTGATGACATGTCCAAACATGATAATTATGACTTGTGTACCAATTAAAAAAAATGCCGCCATATCCACGAAGTGAATGATGATGAGTGGGCGAAGCTCTGGAGGAAAACCTGGTAAACCATGAATCTTCCGTACATTTTGCCTACTCGATTTTATTACAATGCTCCCCCTAGCTTACGTCGCCGCACTAAATCGAACGATTGCCTTCCACCAATGACACGTGCCATATGTGACATCATTCCTATTTTATAACATCTCGCATCTTTCATCATCAACTACAAGTACCACCGTCTAGTTTATAACATCTTGCATCTTTTCATCATCAGCTACAGGTCCCGCCATCTAGTTAGCACTGAAAGAACTAAACGAGAAGTGGCTACATGCAGGAGACGGTGCTACCATCTAGGGAACACTGCAAGAACTAAACGAGAAGAGGCGACATACGGGAGACGGTACCGCCATCTAGTGGACACTGCAAGAACTAAACGAGAGGTGGATACATACAGGGGACGCACAGCCCACGCCTTAAGGAGCTTCGCCCCTAAAAATGACTACATACTACTGTCATAGTGTGCTTGCGGCCGTTTTGCTAGCATTACATATATCAAATTTGATATTACGTGACGTGAATAGACCACAAAGGTATATGATCGTTGCAAACATGATAATCATGACATGCGTTTCATGTAAAGCATGACTACATGCTGAGCTCATATAGCGCGCTCGCGGCCGTTTCACTATAGCTTCACGTATACGAAATTCGGTATTACGTGACATGAATAAATGACGAAGATAAATGGCATGTCCAAACATGGTAATCATGGCATGCTGTCATGTAAAACACGACTATATGCTACGTTCATTTGCGCACTCACGGCCGCTTCGCTAGCTTCTAAATTTGGTATTACGTGACGTGAATGAACGACGAACACAAATGCCAGGTGCTAACATCATAATCATCACATGGAAGTCATATACGGCATAGTTTACATCCGTCTCGTAACGTTGTGCTGAGTTTAAAGGGGCATATTAACCTTCCTCATTAGTGGTCCATAGGTGGCGGGTCACAAATGAGAAAGGCAGCTGCATTTTTGTTGGAGGTGAAAATACTGTAGGCCCCTGTGCTCAGCTTTGCGTACACATTAAAAACCTCCAGGCGGTCGAAGTTTCCGTAGCCCTCTACTACCGCGTCTCTCATAACCATATGGTGGTTTTGGGACACTTTACGCCACATATAAATTCGTGCTTCACAAGTCATCGATTCCCAGTGTACGTGGCATCTGCCATTTCTTTTCCTTGTTACACACAACCTAACCAGTGGCAAGTTTTCTGTATGTACACTTGATTTTTTTCACTGTAGTATAATAGTTGCTTCAATACTAATAGAAGACTGCGAAGTATTACACTTGTTGTTGCATTTGTTTTTGCTGGAACAAATGCTTAAAAGTACGCTTTGTTTCCCTCGAACGGTGAGTGAATGCGATTACCACCCATTGATGTATTTGAGTCAATTAGTTTTGCTGCTGTCTTAACAAACCACTTTTTATATGCTAACAATGCCAAAATAGAATTGTTGCGTCTTTTTAGGCATTATGTTGATTTTATGTAGCATTCCGTGCACATGACTGTTTTTTTCTTCTTTTCTTTCTTTCCACAGACGTCATTCCCCTCCAGCTTGGGCTAAAGTATTCGCCTGTTCTATTCATAAATATAATAAAGATGATATTCACGTCTTCTGTGTCTTGCTTGGGCTATAAGACATGTTACACTGAAGAGTATGATATCTCGGCCTACTAAGCTTGCCTTCTCACCAATAGCTAATAGGGACAGAGAAAAAACTAATGACCCAGTTGTTGTACACAGCTGCAAGAAATCCATAGAAATTTTTCAAAAAATAAAAACACGTGTGCTATTGAACTCTGTGAAGGTAAATGACTAGCGACTTCTGTGAAGGTAAATGACTAATATGCTTACTTCAAAATGATTCATTTCGCTGTGTACGTTATTGCGATGTGATGATTGAGCCCTATATTTGTTACGTAACAGATAATATTGCTTTTATTAGGCCCCGAAAACACGGCGAAGCGACCACACCCTGAACGCAGATCACTGTCCATCTAAGTTTCCACAACTGATGACCAAAAAAAGGATCATATGATGGTGATGATGATGATGATGAATGGTAGATTAGCAACTACCCACTGGGGCATCGGACAAAAGTTACTCGGATCATAATTCTTTTCTTTTTTCGCGGTAGTGGCCTATTGAATAGGCTCTAGCAGCCCCGGTCTTTTTTTTCTTTCACGTGCCTACTTTTTTCTTCACTTTTCTTCTCCTCTTTTCCCTTCACCTTGGTTAAGGGTAGCAAACCGCACGCTACAATTCTTGTTCACCTCTCTGTTTTTCTCTGAATATGTTTTCTGAGTTTCTACGGTCCGTTTTATGTGTCAGGAAAAACTTCCATTTAAGAGCAACCTAAGTATGTTACTATATAATGAAGAATGAAGATGTGCCTAATAAACGTCCACAGTATAAAAAAACTGGGAGAAATTGGCATAGGGTCTACTGCCTTTATAATAATGCATTATGAAAGCGACAAAATTCCAACAAAGGAGGCTGTGAGACAGGGAGTCAAAATTGTCCCAGCGTATACTGTAGCTGTCAATTGTAACTTTACAACAAATTTTGGTTCGTTTGGTTAGTGTAACGTATAAAACGTACTTTCTCTCGACCACGTTGACCTTGCTTAGGCTCTATTTCTTTTTCTGAACAAACCATTTTAACTTAGCTAAGCCTGTTGTACCGCCATGTGATTAATTCGGCACACCCCTCCCCGTTTACGTTTGACCCGCTAAAAATCTTGTTTGGCCGAAATTGCGTCGTTGTTGTCTATATGGACGTCATCGGTGATGAGGGAAATATCTTGTCCGTGACCGAAAAATCGAGAAAAATGTAAATAAAATAAATAATGAAATTTCCTGGCTCAAGTCACTATCACACTCAGGCCCTCTGCGCGGAAAACAGGTGTTCTACTATAGAGCCACAGTGTCTGTTAAAATTGCTTTGGAAAGCAACGCTCTCCAAGTGTAATGTAGTCGAAGGAGCATCATAAACGCATCATATACTTCAGAAGCGTACTGCATATTCTGCTGAAGCGTACAATCGCACCGGGCGTGGAAAAATGTGAATTGAGCAACGAGTGGGTGTTTTAAAGGCCCACCAATTACAAAATGCTAAGACATATTTATTAATCATCCGCAGTACAACAATAAACAAAGTGAACAGACACGTAGAGAGAGAGAGAGTGAGAATTTATTAGAAGGCAGAAAGGTCGGCCTGAGCTAGTTCGCTCTGGCCTGCTACTCTACACAGGGG